CTAGCTCTTGTAGACCAGGTTGGTCTTGAACTCGCAGAGATCCACCTGCCTCTGCCTACATGGTTTGTTTTATAAGTTTTTATAAGGTGCTTTCATATTTAATAGTTTATATAAAATGTAGCCCGGGCTGGCCTCAGACTTGCTGTATAGATGGCGAGGACCACGATTTCCTGAGCCTCCTACTTCCACCTCCGCTGAGGTCATAGTGCCTGGTGGAGACAGGGCTGGGATCACACCCAGGGCTGTGTGCACTCTAGGCAAGCTTCTGGCAGCAGAAGTACCTTGCCTGTTCTTTCTCTCATATTTTCTTTGCCTACTCATTCACAGTCTCCTCTACTTTGGATGCCTGTTTACCTAAGTGCTGTTGAACTGGAAATTCCAAACTGCATCTTTTGTTTTCCAATCTTCTCAAGATCTCTCTAATTAGGATATGTTGGTCTATTTCATATGCAAATACTGTTTATCTATGCCTGCACTGATAAGTAGTGGGATTGTTTTCAACTCTGTTTTTAGAAACAATTAGGGATTGGATTTTTATTTTATTTTATATTATTTTTGTGCAGCCAAACTGGGTCATCTGTATAAAATCCACCCTTACCAGGCAAGCAGTGGGTCACAGGACAGATTTAAACAGCATACTGCATTTAGACATACTCAGTTAAGACGGAGACAGAAGTCTGGGACCTGAAGTGGTTTTTCTTCTTTCTTTCATTTATTTTTAATTGAAAAAAATTTCCACCTCCTCCCAGCCTCCCATTTTCCTCCCCCTCCTCCCACTCCTCTCCCACTCTTCCCACTCCTGTCCGCCTCCCCCCCCCACTCCTTTTCCGCTCCCTCTCCAGTCCGAAGAGCAGTCAGGGTTCCCTGACCTGAGGAAAGTCCAAGGTCCTCCCCCCTCCATCCAGGTCTAGGAAGGTGAGCATCCAAACTGGCTAGGCTCCCATAAAGCCAGAACATGAAGTAGGATCAAAACCCAGTGCCATTGTCCTTGGCTTCTCATCAGCCCTCATTTTCCGCCATGTTCAGAGAGTCCGGTTTTATCCCATGCTTTTCCAGTCACAGTCCAGCTGGCGTTGGTGAGCTCCCAATAGATCAGCCCCTGTGTCTCAGTGGGTGGGTGCACCCCTCACAGTCCTGACTTCCTTGCTCATGTTCTCCCTCCTTCTGCTCCTCATTGGGATCTTGGGAGCTCAGTCCTGTGCTCCAGTGTGGGTCTCTGTCTCTATCTCCATCAATCGCCAGATGAATCTTCGATGGTGATAGGCAAGATATTCATCAGTATGGCTATAGAATAGGGCCATTTCAGGTTCCCTATCCTCAGCTGCCCAAGGAACTAACTGGGGACATCGCCCTGGGCATCTGGGAGCACCTCTAGGTTTAAGTCTCTTGCCAAAACTAAGATGGCTGCCTTGATTAACATATATGCTTCCCTGCTCCCATATCCACCCTTCCTTTATCCCAACCATTCCATTTCCCCAAGTTCCCCCCATCCTCCCCTTCTCACTTTTCTCTCCCCATCTCCCCTTACCCCCATCCCACCCCACCCCCAAGATCCCATTTTTTGCCCAACAATCTTGTATACTTCCCATATCCAGGAGGGTAACTATATGTTTTTCTTTGGGTTCACCTTCTTATTTATCTTCTTTAGGATCACAAATTATAGACTCAATGTCCTTTATTTATAATTAGAAACCAATTATGAGTGAGTACATCCCATCTTCATCTTTTTGGGTCTGGGATACCTCACTCAGAATAGTGTTTTCTATTTCCATCCATTTGCATGCAAAATTCAAGATGTCATTTTTTTTTTACCGATGAATAGTACACTAATGTGTATATATTCCATGCTTTCTACATCCATTCTTCCATTGAAGGACATCTAGGTTGTTTCCAGGTTCTGGCTATTATAAATAATGCTGCTATGAACATAGTTGAACAAATGCTTTTGTCATATGATAGGGCATCTTTCGGGTATATTCCCAAGAGTGGTATTGCTGGGTCCAGTGGTAGGTTGATCCTGAATTTCCTGAGAAACCGCCACACTGATTGCCAAAGTGGTTGCACAAGTTTGCATTCCACCAGCAATGGATGAGGGTACCCTTTCCTCCACAACCTCTCCAGCAAAACTATCGTTGGTGTTTTTGATTTTAGCCATTCTGACAGGTGTAAGATGACATCTCAAAGTTGTTTTCATTTGCATTTCTCTGATCACTAAGGAGATTGAGCATGACCTTAAGTGTCTTTTGGCCATTTGAACTTCTTGTCTTGAGAATTCTCTGTTCAGCTCAGTGCCCCATTTTTTAATTGGGTTAATTAGCATTTTACAGTCTAGTTTCTTGAGTTCTTTATATATTTTGGAGATCAGACCTTTGTCTGTTGCGGGGTTGGTGAAGATCTTCTCCCAGTCAGTAGGTTGCGTTTTTGTCTTAGTGACAGTGTCCTTTGCTTTACAGAAGCTTCTCAGTTTCAGTAGGTCCCATTTATTCAATGTTCACGTTTGGGACAAGTCTCACTCTTGTATCTCCACAGAATGCTGCTGTCTCATCCATGGGGACTTTCTGAGGGCACCATGGCTAACACGCTGGATTTGCTATGTTTTAGCTTGGCCTCTTCCTTGCTTTGGTTAATTTAAAGCATATAACATATGAGTTGTTATATATATAAAGACATATCCAACCATCATCAGGCAGTATCCAGAGACTGTAAATACATTGGCCTTTAGTACTGGGCAAAGACCAGGAGAGCTCACCCATCACTTTGGTATACATGATGGAGACATAACCATCATCAGTGTGGAATCTCAGCTCCTGTCATAGAAGGGAATAACACATGACTATTAATGCTCAACCTCCCTAACTTCTACACTGATCTTGTTCAGGAAGCTTGCTTTGGAGGTTTGTGTACATGTGTGTCTTGAAGACACATGGAATTACAGAAACAGTTAAAAAAATTCTTTAGGAGCCTTTAAAACTTTGTATAATTTTTTTTAAGTTAGTTCTTTGAGAATTTGGGCAGTGTGTTTTGATTGTATTCACTGCCCAACCCACTCCTCCCAGATCCATCCTCCTTTCCCTACTGGTGCAACTTTGTATCTTCTTTGTACTTTACCTACCAGGTCCAATTTGTGGTTCTTGTATATGCATGCATGTGTGACCTTCCACTGAAGTATAGTCAACTTACTAGGGGTCAACCTACTAAGGGCAACACTCTTTTCACTTTTAATTCTTATTTCTTATATTAAAACATAATCATAAAATCTTCCTTTCCTTCAATCTCTCCTGAGTGTCACTTCATTACCCCTTCTTAAATTCATGACCTCCTTTTTTCTAATTATTCTTGTTACACATTAATGCATATTATATATCCAAACATATAAACACAGCCTGCTGGGTCCACTCAGTGTTGTGTGTATATAATGTTTTCAGGGATGACTCCTGGTACTTGGTAGCCAATTACAGAACTCTTTCACAGGGCTTGTGCTGCTAAAATTGCTGTGGCTTATACTTGCAACTATCTTGCTGTATCAGGAAGACACTATTTCTTTGTATCCATCTACCCCCTCTTTAAAAATGATTCCAGAGCATTGGGAGGAGGAATTGTGGTATGAGACGTCCCATTTAGAGCTACGTATCTCATGATCTCTTATTCTTTGTCTATGACCTGACTAAACACAGGTTCTTGGTGTGACACTGGTGCCAGATATGGATTTCGTCTTGTTGAGCAGGACTTAAATTCAATCAGAAAATGGTTGGTTGTTCCACAATAACCATGCCACTATGGCGCCAGAGCCGCTCGTAGTGTTCAGAATTGGGCAAGACTGATGACTACTTTTCTCCTTTTCTGTGTTAGCGTGCACAGCACCTTTTGGCATTATGAAAACTCGTCAGCAGGAATAAAAGTTACAGTGAAAATTACTGGCTTGAAATGTCTGTTGACTTGATTGAGGTTTCTGTCCCACCAGGTCCCACATCTGTTGAGTCCCAAATAAATACACAGAGGCCTACATCAATTATAAACTGGTTAGCCTATTAGCTCAGGCTTCTTATTAATTCTAATAGCTTTTATTAGGCCATTATTCTTGTCTGTGTTAGCCACGTGGCTTGGTACCTTTGTGGTGAGGCAGTCACATCTTACTTCCTCTGTGTCTGGATGATGACTGTAGACTGCCTCTTTCATCTTCCCGGAATTCTCCTGTTCTGGTTGCCCTGCCTCTACTTCCTGCCTGGTCACCCCTCCTATACTTCCTGCCTGGCTACTGGCCAATCAGCATTTTATTAAAAATAATACAAGTGACAGGATAAAAGACCATTGTCCCACAGCAAATATGTCAATGTTTTTATTCATTTATTTATTCATTTCATTAAAAGTCATTAGAATTTATTAAACAATGTTTTCTTTAAAATATATATTTATATCCATAAAATCCTTCACCAAAAATTATTATTCACAAAAACAAAAGTTCCTTCTGGAAGTAAACTCGTGTGGCTACTGAGATGACAGGTATCTGCTGTGATACTAGAAACTGCTTCTTGTCCTTTCATTGGCAACCTGTATCCTATTGTTCAAACAAACAGAAAACAACCAGAAAGGTCACTAGCTAGGCTCCATTGCACTTCCGTCCTTCCATAGGAAAGGCAGGTCATTTTCCACCGTCCACTCTGCTAACCAGTATCCGACCGATAGCCACACAGCACTTGTGAGCAAAAATTCTGACCATCATGGTGCTTCACTTCCTGAGTGTGTCGTCGCCATCAAACAGTGGTCTACACTAGATCAAAGTTTCCAATTGCGCAAAGACAGCTCAAGCGTCAAGTAATCCCAGCCTGTTTTAGGGAGTTTTGGGTGTTTGTTTCAGCCACTGCAGACCTTGCCTTGTGTAGATCACCAGGTCCACCAGGCTGCTGTTGAGGCTCAAGATATGCACCTTTGTGCTGAGCTGAGCAAAGAATTTTTTATTCTCATTTGTAAGGGCCTCTGACTGTTCCCAGAGTTCCAAGGCTTTAAGGAGGTGGTTTGTGATGGTGAAATAGGCAAAGGTCTTGTTCTGGATGGTGACTGGGACACTGACGGTGGCCATCATCCCACCAGCACTTGACTGGGACCTGACAGATCTGGCAGGAGAAGGCACTGGGGAGAGGGAGGACGGAATACCTGTGCAGAGAGAAGAATTGTTGAAGTGGTCACCAAGAGAGTGAGAATACTTCATTACTATGTCCTTTTTACAGCGAAACATCGCCATGTTCACCAGTGACTGGCAACGTAAACATAAAACGTCAAATATCTTTTCTTGTGCTGGCACCGTGGCATCCGAGAAGGATTTTAATGACATCGTGAACTTAATGAGGTCTTCAGTTTCTGAGTAGACAGCGTACGCTGCCTTTACTGAGCTTTCTGACTCCATGGCCATCCCACACTCAATTAAAGACAGGACAGCTTCCAAATACTTGAAGGCCTTTTTGATCTTCTTCGTCATTGCCGCTGCTTTACACTTCAACCTTTGAGCTTCCTTCATGTAAAAGTCAGCTTTCTGCATGTAAGGTTTCACTTGTGGCTTCCCTGGTTTACAGTTACCCTTTGGCGAAGAAGGCACTAGGAACGCGTTTGTGGCTTCTCTAGAAGACCCTTTGTATTCCGAGCCCTTGGCCTGCACTTTCGGCACTTTTCTGGGCTTGGGAACAGAAGAGTCCTTGTCATTGGCATTGGCACTGCCTGCACTTTTGGGAGGGTCCTGACCACAGGTGTCTGCATCCGGCTTTGGCTTCTTGCCTGCAGTTTTGGTTGACTTCTGGGAGGAGGAAGAGGCTGACACAGGTGGCAGAGAAGGCATTTTGGACGTCTCTGTTTTGGAAGATTCAGTATGGGAAGAGGAAGAAGAAGTACAATGTGACTGGACATCTTTCTCCCTTCTGATTTTCTTGCTGGCACGGTCTTTTTCTGAGTCGCTGCCCTTTCTCTTCTTGCTCAGTCTGCTGGAGCCATTGCAGTCTCTCTTTTCAGAGTCTTGCTTCTTATCTGCTTGCGGCTGCCTGTCTTCTGCTTTCCTAGGGCTGCCACCCTTCCCCAGGGGCTGGGGAATCCGAGTGAGGTGATCTAGGTTTATCTTCTCTACCAAACTCATTGGTAGTGAAGAGTCCCTGAGCGGTGAGAGCAATTCGGTGTCTCTCTTTTGACCGTCTTCCCGGACACTTGCAATTTGTTGGCAGTGGCTAGACCTGCCACTGCTGCCACCACTGCAGCCCCTACCACCGTGGGGTGGAGTGAAAGAGTTCCTGTTTAGAGCTTTGTCCTTTGACAGCTGAGGGCCTGAGGGAGCCTGGGAACCCTTGTGCTTCCTTTTCTCCTTAGGGGCAGGCTCGGCTGCCTGATGGTTGGGCATAGGAGCTTCAGGCTTAGGCTCCCTGCCTTTTGCCTTCATCTCGGGTTTGTCTTTGGAAGTCTGTTTTTTTGATACAGAAGGCAGGGGTCCTGGTTTACTTTCCACCTGGCCAGAGCCCTTGGCAGGATTTCTGGGTTGTTTGGTTTCAATAGTTCGCTGAGGTGGGGACTCCTGTTGGGCAGGGGATTTCTGGCAGCTCCTCTCCTCAGGTTGGGGCCCTTCAGTGGGATCCTGGACGGCTTTGCTGGAACTCTTGGGGGGAGAGCCTTTGGACTCAGGGTGTAGCTGGTCAGTGTTGCGGTTTTCACCATTATTTTCCGACTTTGCACTACTGGAATGTGCTGACACCACCGGCTTGGGGAGAATCTGGGGAGCGCTTGGAGGTGCAGATAGGGAAGGAAGCTTCTCTGCAGCTTGTTCAATGTCGCTCTCTTCACTATCACTGAGCTGCAGGTCCTCCCAGAGTATGGATGTTTTTTGCTGGGAATTGGGATCCGGCTTGGGGAGAATCTGGGCAGCGCTTGGAGGTGCAGATAGGGAAAGAAGCTTCTCTGCAGCTTGTTCAATGTCGCTCTCTTCACTATCACTGAGCTGCAGGTCCTCCCAGAGTATGGATGTTCCTTGCTGGGAATTGGGATCCGGCTTGGGGAGAATCTGGGCAGCGCTTGAAGGTGCAGATAGGGAAGGAAGCTTCTCTGCAGTTTGTTCAATGTCGCTCTCTTCACTATCACTGAGCTGCAGGTCCTCCCAGAGTATGGATGTTCCTTGCTGGGAATTGGGATCCGGCTTGGGGAGAATCTGGGGAGCGCTTGGAGGTGCAGATAGGGAAGGAAGCTTCTCTGCAGTTTGTTCAGTGTCGCTCTCTTCACTATCACTGAGCTGCAGGTCCTCCCAGAGTATGGATGTTCCTTGCTGGGAATTGGGATCCGGCTTGGGGAGAATCTGGGCATCGCTTGAAGGTGCAGATAGGGATGGAAGCTTCTCTGTAGTTTGTTCTGTGTCGCTCTCTTCACTATCACTGAGCTGCAGGTCCGCACCGAGTGTGGATGTTTTTTGCTGGGAATTGGGATAAATTTTGGAAGCCGGATCGTATTGATTTTGGCTTTGGGTTGCAGAACTATTGGGCAGAGGCTCCTTTGTAGGGAAAGGAGATCTGGATGACTTGGCCGTACTGGGTGTATGCTTGGTCTTGGCCGTCCTGGGTTTATGCTTGGCTGTCCGAGGAGGGAGCCACGAATGGGTCATTTCCTTCAGAATCTCCTCAATGCAGCGGACTTCATTGGAGAACAACTGCTCCACCGACTCCGACTGTGAAGATATCTTCAGTCTGGTGAGTTTGGCTTTGGCTGGCACTTTTACATCCAGTTTTTCGAAGCTCTGCTGACCATTGTCTTCCAGTGGCGGCTTCAGGCCCAAGGACTCACTGGGAGCCTGATTCTGACCGTCCGTGGGCCAGATACATGTCATGGGCTTCTGCTGCATTGCAACACTTTCTGAGGGAAGGGGTGGGGGTGGAAACGTTTGAGAAGAGGCCACTCCCAGTCTCATAATAACCACTGAACTGGCGAGAGGAGGCTCGTTATCTTGAAACTTCACCTTCAGGTCCTTGGAAGAAGTGTCCAGAGGAGTCGCGTTATCTTGAACCTTCACCTTCAGGTCCTTGGAAGACACGTCCGCACAGTAGCCTTTATTGCTAGTGCTACTGCTGCTGTAAACCTTGCTGGTTCTTTGCAGTCTGGAATGTACAGGGGACAAATGGGACACAGGGGAGATTAAGGGTGAGAGTTTTTTAGCCGGAGCTGAGTCACCATCAGCTCTGCGGTCACACTTTTTGTGGTTTGAAGAGTGCCCCTCCTGACTGAGGCGATCTCGAGTCAGATGCTGTTTGTCGGGTGGACCATAGTTTTTGGCATGGAGACTTGGCACTGGCTCCATCCTTGGTGGTGCCATCTTTGAACTGTGGCTAATGTTACCAACAAAAGGTGATCCACGGGCAGAAGAAGTACCGAAAAGCTTGTGGTAGATGTGCGTGCAACAGGAGTTGGATTCAAGGCTCTCCTTGTCATGAAATGAAGGATATTTCGGCTTCCCCTGGCTGTCTTCAGAACCATTTGGACACTGAGTACAAGACATAGATCTCCATAACTCCTTCATCACTTCGTAGTCTCCTAGTATGTTCTGTATCCGACGCGACAACTCATCCCTGTTTGTAGTCTTGTACGGCTCTCCAAACAGTGGCATCTTTTCTGCAAACACCTCTTTCTCCGGGTGAGCTTCTTGGTTGCCTCTCTCCTTCTCTCAAATCCGAAGAAGGTTACTATTTTCACTGATGTCCTTGAATGCAATTAATGGCGGTCAGTAGAAGGTGCTCATTTTCCAGGCTCTCTGGTTCTATAGTTATGTCTGGGGTGTCTGTGTCACCTGCCTTGACCTGTTGAGATGCAGGGACAAGAGAGTTCGACTTTAGAATTGTGGGAGCCAATGGTACAGGCCACACTTTGGCGCGTGCAGGCTGTGGGCCAAGTGCCCCTGGCTCTGCCAGCTACCAATTTGCCAACTTCCGGCATTGGCCACCCAGAATACCCCAGGCCCAGGCCACGCCCTCCGTGCCAAGCCACGCCCATAGCTTCACCCCACCCCCACTTGGCCCCAAATGCCCACATTTTATGACTCAAGTATGTGGAGCTTTTGAATTTCCGGGGAGGTGTTTGCAGAAGGGTTAGTTGCTACAGAGGCATCTTTATGCTGTAGTCTCCCCATCTCTCCTACTTCGGTTCACATTCATTCCTTAAAGATTACTGAGGAGCAGGAGAGACTGCTCAGTGTATAAAAATAGTTGGTGTGAAAACAAGAGGACCTCAGATTGTCCTTAGCACCCGTTCAAAAGCCTAGCATAGACACACATATCTGTAACTCAAGGGTTGTGGAACATTGCCAAGCAGATTCCAGAAGCTCAACGGTCAACCAGTCTAGCCCTAATAGCAAGCTTCCAGTTCAGTGAGAGACCCTGTCTCAAAAAATAAGGTGGGATGTAGGAAGACACTTGACATCTGTCTCTAGCTCCTACATGTGTGTGTATGGATGTGTACGCTGCATGCACATGTGTGCATATACCACACAAATACACACATACACATACTTTATACATGATTAAGCCACTATGGAGATCAAGAATTAGCCTGCAGGGATCCTATAGAGCCAGCCATGATAAATTAGGACAGAGGGAAGGAGTCAAGTGCAGCGTCTGTCTAGAGGAGAAAGGAATGAGAATCAGGAAGCATGAGTGCTGTACAGGGAGGTGACAGCTAAGCTGGTTTTGACAGATGTGTAGGAGTTGAGCACACAGAGAAAGGAAGGAGTCTTAAGGACCAGAGAAGCAACTCCCTCCTTCCTCCCACACTCATACCCTGCCCCCTTTCCCTCCCACCCGGCCAGCAGTCAGAACACAGAAATAATCCTGGATCCCTCGGAAAGAGGAGCAAATGCTCAACACTGTACCGCGAGACTGCGCCAGCTTGCTAAGCGTTCCCCAGCAGCCCTTGTGCCTGTGAAATGCATTTCAAGGCTCATCTGTTCCCTAAATGAGATGTGAAGGCAGTTTACACCTCGTTTACATTTGCGCTGTTTTAAGGAACAGTATAGATGTGACTCCACCCAAGAAAAGAAATGAGGTCAGCTGCTCCCTTCTCTCTATGGAGTGCCTCTACACAACCCTCAGACCCTCCCAGGCACACAGGAACCTAAGCTTGGAGTTGAGCAGGTAAACCAGCCATAAGATAGGTGCTCAGAGCAGAGGCCATTGGGTTCCTTTGATGTGGGGGATGGGTAGCCCTTCTTTAAGCCAGCACTAGGTTCATGGTGTCTAAGTTATTCAAATAGAATGCAGAGATTTTGAATGTACACTTAGAAATTTCACTTTGCACATCCTCTTACCTGAGTATGTGAGACCTCTACTAAAATCGTTCATGCTCCTCTCCTGTCATTAGTGATCTCTTAAATGAGCACTGTGGTGACATTTATTTCCACAGAGCCACTGTGCCATTCCAGAACTTCATATATACAAAACTAATAGTGTGCGCTTTTCTTTCGGGTCTGCTTTGTTTTGCTCACAGGACGCGTGTGAGGGTTGTGTATGCTGCCTTGTGGCTCCACGGCTCATCCCCTTGAATGATTTTTTAGTGTCCTAAATCCTATCTCTTTTTTTGTGTGTCCTCATCCTGATTCTGATCTAGAATTCACTATAATTGACAGAGCACAGTACATTTTCCGCCCTGGTCATTTACTTGCAGAGTGTGAGGCCTTCTGCCCCTCTTTTGCCAGGGGAGAGATCATGTTGCCGTGTTTTAGCAAATTGCTATCTGTATATATGTTTCTAAGTTTTGTGCTTTGAAAGCACTAAGGCATAAGTTTTCCTTATTTTCCCACACCAAGTTTTGTTCCTTCGTGATTGTAGCTGCCCATCTCTGTAGCACGAATTCTAACTGTTCTTTATAATCAGTACCGAGTGTCAGAAGCAGGGGTTAACGCTAAAGATCAGAGAAACAGACCAGTAAGCCCCAAGTGAGTACTCACCTCTATCCAAGCTCAGACCAAGATGGGTGATCCTCAGACTTCCTAGACTGAGCTGGGTCTCCACCAAATCTCATATGGTATGTTCAAATAGCATTTGAGGTCCTGCTTATATAGCTTTCTCTGCCCCGCCTTAAACTTTAATCCCTTCTTGACTCCACCTCCCTAATGCTGGGAGTAAGGGTGTGTGAATCTCAAACACCAGGATTAAACGTTAATCCACTGACTGGCTCAATCCACTGTTTCAAGTAGGCCGGATTAACCTTGAACTCCCAGAGATCTGTCTGCCTGTCTTGTGAGCGCTGGGATTAAAGGTGTGCGCCATTACTGTCTGCCCTCTATGGCTAACTTGCAGTAACCCTGCACTCTAACTCCAGGCAAGCTTTATTTCTTAGATTACAAACAAAATATCAACACATATCTCCATGTCCTCTTGTGGCTTGACTTTCTCATGTTGCCATGCTAACGGCCTTACATCAGCCTTCCTCGGGACTGCAAATGTTTGCTTGTTTCAGTAGGTTACACAAAATGTCTCCTTACATAATTTGTATTCATTTTTCTTTTTTTCATTATTTGAGACAGGATCTCACTATACAGCCCTGGCTGACCTCAACTCATTATGCAGATAAGGTTGACCTTCAAACTCACAGGGATCATCCTGTCTTTGTCTCCAGGCTGCAGGGATTGAAAGTGTGGGCCAACTTTTATTACTATTTTTTAAAACATTTAAAATTAAAAGGACTAATTGCTCTTCATAAAACATTTATCACCCAGAGATACAAATTGAGCCAAATTCCATATTCTAGAAATGCAACTAAAACCAGAGGTAACAATAGATTTTGATTAAAACCACTTAAACATCTCTCCATTCAGTACTCAGGTAGCTAATGATGTATCTAGGTATAGGTTTTAAAGAACTGCTTTGAACAATTCAACATAAAATCATTTGAAATGGCTCTCTTGTTGTGCAATGGTAGACATACATGATAGAATACATTAGTCTCAAAAGATTCTTTTTATGTGCATTTCAAATGACATTTGAACTGCATATTTTGACTTTGGAATGTATCTCTAGAAATCCATATTATTGGGAATCAGTCTACCTCAGGAACCAGCAATACCACTCTTGAGAATATACCCAAGAGATGCCCAATCATACTACAAAAGCATTTGTTCAACTATGTTCATAGCAGCATTATTTGTAATTGCCAGATCCTGGAAACAAACTACATGCCCCTCAATGGAAGAATGGATAAAGAAAGTGTGGAATATATACACATTAGAGTACTACTCAGTGGTAAAAAAAAAATGACATTTTGAATTTTGCATGCAAATGGATGGAAATAGAAAACACTATCCTGAGTGAGGTAACCCAGACCCAAAAAGATGAATATGGTATGTACTCACTCATTAGTGGATTCTAGCCATAAACAAAGGACATTAAGCCTATAGTTTACAAACCTATATGCTTAGAGAAGCCAAATGACAAGGTGAACCCAAAGAAAAACATATATGGATCATCTTGAAAATTGAGAGCAGACAAGATTGCCGGGCAAAAGGTGGAAGCATGGAGGTGGGGGTAAGGGGTTGGAGTTGTGGGAAGAAGAGGGGGGGGGAGAGAAGGGATTAAAGGCATGAGCCACTACTGCCCAGTGAAAATTTTTCTCCCCTTCCAAGAGAGTAGTATTCACTTTGAGCTAGCAATGAGTCCTGGTGAGCAAACAAACACAATAGAAGCTCCACAGATTCTTAATGGAATCAACAGGGATTGCCAGGGAGAAAGGGTTTTAGTAATCCTTTGTACCCACATGGGTGGGAGAGGGAGGCAGAGTGGTCATGCTAGGTTTTCTATCAAATTGTGCAGTGTAAAAAAATTCTCACATGGGGAGAGTCACCAATGACCTGGGATGTTTGGGGTTAGGGTTCCTGCATTATATAGGCCTTCTTCTGCTTGATTAGATGGAATATTTTGGATTAGATGGAATATTTTGATGAAAAGAAGAGGTGTTGTGGGAGAGCAGGTCCAAGATGCATGAATTGGCCCAATTCAATTATTTTGCCACATATATCTAAATATAATGCTGTACTTCATAAATCTATGAGCATTATTTGCCAGCTGACAGTTGATGGCTGTTGGGCTGTTTAGGACTGTGGTTACTGGTAGGTAGGTTGACCATGCCTCATGGGCATGCATCTGTTCATGGATAACACTAATTTGATTCAATCGTGGGAAAGGTATGTTGGAAAGCATGTGGGGGGAGTTAGATGGGAGTATTGAGTGTATATATAATTGACATATATTATATACATACCTGAAATTTTAAGAGAATATTAAAAATAAATTCCTAAAAATAAAAAAAAACACTGCTGACTAGTTTTTGTCAGCACAAACTAGAGTCACCTGGGAAGAAGAGGGCCTCAGCCATTGGATTGCCTCAAACTGTCCTGATCTCCTCCCAGCCCCTCCCTATGTCCCCACCCACCCAACTCCAGACCTTCTTTCTGTTTTTAAAAAACAAGTAGGCCAATAAACAAACAAACAACAAAGCAAACAGACAAATGAAAAAACAAAAAACACTGAGAAACGCATACACATGTAGACACACATGCCCTATAAAAACACAAAATTGGAAGCCATAATAGATAAGCAAAAGACAATTAAAGTAAAAATTGGGGGGTATTTTCTTGATTGATAATTGATGTGGGTGGGTGTTGCTACCCTGGGCAGGGTGGTCCTGAGTTCTAAAAGAAAGCAAACTCAGGGCAAGCCATTGGGCACAAACCAGCAAGCAGCATTCATTCATGGTCCCTGTCTCTGCTCCTCTTTGAGTTCCCTGACTTTCCTCATAGCTGGACTGTGATCAGGACATGTAAGCCAAACTTTCTCCTCCTTAACTTGCTTTTGGTCATGGTGGTTACCACAGAAATAGAAAGCAGACTATGTCACTTGTCAAGTCTTCCTGCCTGGCTTGCTCACTATTCTCAAGATTTAGACCAG